ATAAGCACGGTGGATCCGTCAAAGCGATACACTCGTTCCTATCACATATTCTCCCACCCACCGGGACGCAAAACGCTCTTGGCGAGAGCCACAAGAAGGCGTCCACACAGCAAGCCACTCGTCGGACAGGCGTGCTCGCTCGATGTCGGCGAGCGCATGGCGCACGCCTTGGACGGTGGCGAAGCCAAAAACACCGATGGTGGCCGTCCGCTGGCGTGAGCGGCGGCGGTCGAGACCTCACCCTCCCTTCGCGACGACCCAACCTTACGCGGAACAACCCAACCCAGGCCCACAACCCAACCCAACCCAAAAAGCACGATTCTCCTTTCATTAAAACTCATATGTCCTACTCAAAACGAAGACGCCGAGCGAGGCGGCACGATCACTATTAATTATGCGTTGCAACCTCGAGAGAGATTTTTAGAAGCCAACAAGAAATGTGTCTTCTCTTCTAACCTCGATGAGAGGGCCATGAGATGGGTTGGCTGGTGCGACACTCCTCGCTGACACTATCATTTCTACCATGCGCTGTCCCCAGACTCAGTCTTTGGCTCGTGAGTCCTCACGCGGTGCGTCCGAGAGGTCTGCTTCAATGAGCGCGCAACGTGCAAGCCCCGCAGAGGTGCGGGCGAGAGGGCGGCCCGAGCCCGAAAGGGCCCGCCCTCGGCGTTGCTCTACATGGTAACGGATAAGAAGAGAAACACCCCCGGACAGGGACGCCGGCAGTCGAGTCGGGACACGCTGTGGTTCAGACGTCCCCCCCCTCGACGCAGTCGAGTCACTGACATGAATAGGGAGGAGAAAGTGTCCCCCACATATCACCACAGACGCAGCACAGGGGCTCCAATCCTGTCCCAGCCTGGGGGGCCTCGCTAGATCTCCAGTTGGGAGTGCGAGGGCTGGATCGACTGCAGTGTGGGTTGTGGACCGTCGGGATAGCGTGTGGCGTAGATGTTCTCCTGGAAGTAGAGAGGCCGATGTCTCTCGCCCTGCAGGAAGGAGAAACTCCGATGGTTGAGTGAAAACTCCTCCCTGCGGTATGTGCGCAGAAAGGGTTGCGCTATGTGCAGCACGGTGTTGAGGGCTCGGGAGGGCAACGACGGCGGCGTTGCCGAGCTCGTACAGGGGCCTCAATCCTGTCCCTGATGGGGTGCGCCTCTCGCCGCGCGCGTAGCAGTCGGCGCGCGGGTAGCCTCAGAGATGCGCAGAGCGAGATGCGGTTATCGGCGAACCAAGCCCTGGGCTTGGATAGGGCGCGGCGTAGCCGCGGCGCAGTGGATAGCGTGAAGAGCCCACTCACTGTCGTGAGCAGACCGCCGCTACCACGTGCAAGCCCCGCAGAGGTGCGGGCGAGAGGGCGGCCCGAGCCCGAAAGGGCCCGCCCTCGGCGTTGCTCTACATGGTAACGGATAAGAAGAGAAACACCCCCGGACTGGGACGCCGGCAGTCGAGTCGGGACACGCTGTGGTTCAGACGCGCAATCCCTAGTAGGTAGGTAGGTAGTAAGGTGAAGAACAGCCAGGCTCGGACTGGACACCAACGCGGTATGGGTGGACGCTGGACAGATGATGACGAATCCCTACCAGCACGGTGCAAAAGAAATCCGTGAGGGACGCTCGCTCCCCGACGCCGACGAGTTCGCCAGCCAAATGTTGGCGCCACACAAGCTCTTCCGACAGGCGACACGGCGTCGCCTGTACACGCAGCTGGCGCCCCGCGCATTCTCCGCCGCGAGCCGACTCGCCGCTCCCGCCTCGCTCGCCCGGTTGGATCTCGCGCGCACGCCGCAGCCGCTGGCAGCGCCGAGGCGTCGGTGGCTCGCGACGGATGGAGAGACTGTGGAGGTTCCGGTGCCGGAGATGGGCGACTCGATCTCGGAGGGGACTATCCTCTCGATCGCAAAGAAGCCGGGCGACTACGTCGCGCTCGAGGAGACGGTCGCCGAGGTTGAGACGGACAAGGTGACGGTCGAGGTCAAGTCGCCGCACGCTGGGACGATCAAGGAGATCCATGTGGCGGTCGACGAGAGCGTCGAGGCGCGGACGGCCCTTCGCTTCGCTCTCACGCGAGCCTCGCCACCGTGTCCCCCACTCTTGCCCCCTCTCCTCCC